CAGCAGCCTTGAGTATGTTTCCAGACAGATCACCCCTAGTTTGTCCCCGGGAAGGCCGAAGTGCAAGATAGCATCTCCGGGAGAGAGAAAAGGTGCTCTGATCCACAGGGGGGCAGCGGCAGTAAACACACTGCAAGAAATTGTGTTTTTTCCATTTAGTCACTTATAAATATTGGCAGGGGTGCTAGCAATGTTTCAGCCAGTGTTGATAATAAGGAAGAATATGAAACAGACCTAGAACAATTGGGATGATGGCCATTCCACATTTCAAAAGCAGCACTGGCTATTCTAATGAATGCCTCTAATTTCTAAAGCTTGGTTTTACCCTCACTTACTCTGAAATTGCACTTGCTTATATCATCAAGACCATGATCTCAAGCTGCAGCTACTTTAAAGGAGAGAAAAAGGTTTGAATCGATTTGGCAAGCTTTTCTCAGCTTCACTGAATGACTGCATGGCAATGAAAAGATGTTCTCCAATGGCTACAAATCCAAGCTGCACTTCTTAAAATGAGATACAATTTTCAGGGCAGAGATGAATGAGTGCACAGAAGAGGCAGCCCCTCAGATCTGTGGGGACCAGGTCATGAAGCGCTTCATAGGTTAGATCCCATATCCTGAACTGAACCCAGAAAGGAATCAACAACCGGTGCAGCTACTTTAGAAGTTACATAGAGATAAACTGATCAAACCTGTTGTCTCCTATAAGGAGGCAAGCCGGTGTGCTCTGCACCAGCAGAGGTTTCTGAGTTTTCTTCATGGATAGCCTGTCGTAGTGTCCATTACAGTACTCCATCCATGATGCTGAGGTAGTATGGATCAGAACTAGGGGTGTAAAAATTTTAAAACTGAACTAATTTTGTTTCAGAACTTCAGAGAGGGTATATCTCTTTTCGTTATCCTGAATTTGGGGAGCGTGGTTGCTGGTTTGGAATTCTGGGTACTTGTTTCAGATTTGTCCATTTTGGGACCATTATTTTGTGCATCATCCCCACCCCACCCTGGCCAGAGGCAAAAGGAGCAGGGGGAGGGAGGTGGGAGGAGAGAAAGAGGAGGGGAGGAGAGAAGGGGGGGGGAAAGAGAGCCTGCTCCAGCAAACAACTGTTTGGCCATGGATGTTCCCTTTTTTAAAAAGCCATTGCTCACTATTAGAAGACTTGACTCCTGTACTCCAGAGACCAAGTCTATTCCCACAGAAAAGAATGGTCCTTTAAAATATATAGGGCACATGTGTCACCAAAGAGCTGGGGGTCTGCTGCCAAGGCCAGGTCTTCTGCCCACAGCAAATAATGCCCCCCTTACTTCCTAGGGGTGGTAAGAGGCCAGATCTGTTTCCTATCCCTAGACCAGGACTCAGAGGCCAGGACTACCGCCCAGAAGAGCAACTGAGAGTGGGGCATGCTTCTTATCTTTCCATCCCTCCCCTTCTCCCTCTACCTCCTGAAACATAAATCACTCTTGAAATTCCAGGAGATAAATTATCTTTACTCCTGAAATTTCACAAGTGCTTTGAGGTGTTTTGGATAACTTCAAGCCAACCTGAAACAGCTAATTTCAGGCTTAATTTCAGCTTGGTCCCTAATGAGAATAGCTTAATCAGTTGAGTCTATAAGGGAGAACAGTCTTTTCCCTAAGCACAGATGAACAAATAATTTCCTTGCCACCCCCAGCACTAGATTCTCAAATAACAAAGCATCTGCTAAACAATGCTTTTAAATAGGGATGGGCACAAACCAGAACACGAATGAAGGTTTGTCATGAATTCTGGCCAGTTCGCAATGTTTGCAAACTAAAGAGTCACCATGAACTTCCACAAATCTTAAGGCAATCTGTGGCAGTTCATGAAGAGCCAAAAGCAGGGGTTTAAATGGCTCTAAACCCCTGCTCCCTGCTCCCTACCACTCAGCTTTTTGGTGTAAACGGCTCATAGCCATTTAAACACCTGCTTTCTGCTCCCCGTGAAAAGCAATACGGAGCAGAAAGCAGGGGCATGAACTTATATGAACCACTGAGATTCTGCAAATCAATCCCCACTAGAACAGCAGCAACATCAAGTGCATCACCTCCACCCATTTATTTCCCCTTATCCACTTGGTGAAAGGTATCCAGGCACTGATTTAAGATCGCTGCATTGGGAGGCCTGTGTTAACATTGTCTAGCTGAACAGCAGAGTGCCGTCAGCCTCTTGATGAATGGAACCTCTGAGGCACACCACAGAGCAGGGGCCAGCCCAGGACTCAGCAGCTCTCATGGAAACTTCCCGTATCGTATTCAGTGGGAAGGACTGAAGCCAACAGGGCCCCATGCCCACAACCCCAACCTCCTCTTCTAGATGGTGGAACGGAGGCTACAGTGTGACGGAGGGGCTACAGAAGGATTTAACATGATCGGAGACAGGCTGCCCCTGTGTTTACCTGAAGTCTAAGAACACCTACCAACGTGATTAAAGCAGCAGTCTCCATCCCATAGCCAGGCACAAAGCCAGACTGAAATTAATCAAAGGGGAAAGTATCATTCAGGTACACCTGGAGTTACTCTCTCTCACTGGTTCAAAAGCCTTGCTCCCATAAAGCATATCTGACAGAGGTCTATTCTCGGCCAATTACTCCTTGGTACAGAAGACTTCTTCAATACAATTTTTTGCTCTCTCTTCTGTAAAAAGGATTAAGGAAAACTGCTGGAGTTGGGGAGATAAACGTAAAACTATCCATGCAAGGGTATATGCAAGAGGGTATTTCTGACAGAAACTGGAACTGCTTTAAATCCACCTTCTATCAGGGTTTCTACTGCACAAAAAGGGTTTACCCCAGTGAGAGTTACTGAAACGTATTACCACAGCAATTCTGTAACTTTAAATGTAAGCCTTAATCAGCATATTCTCCACTAAAGAACAAAGCTGTTAATTATTTTTCCTCTTTGGCACCACAAGGCCACAAACTGGGGGTGCCAGACCCAGCCCAGCGGCCTCACACTCAGTAGCCATGGGCCAGTCAGAGGCCCACTCCCTGAAGCACAGAGCAGGCCACACAAATCCCAATCAAAACAAAGACCTCTACTGATGTGGTTTAAAAGTTTCCATCACTTACTGTATCAATTAAAGCCTGCACCCGTACTTGGTTTTTTTTTGGGGGGGGGAAATGCAGCAGTTTTTAATAACCCCCCATGGACAAAACCTCTCATTGTGTGCAGCAGCAGTTCTAATGATCAACGTCTGAGGCTGGACCCGAGGCTGCCCACTGCCAGCACAAAGCCAGAAGAGAGAGGCGGGAGGACGACAATGAAGGACAGCCTTCCTGGGAGGTCACCCACCACATCCGCACAGGACTGTGTTCCTAGTGACTGAGGGGTTACTTGGGCTCTCCAAGGAGAGGACCTTGGTGTTGCCTTCGCGGCTCCAGGAGCCCTCCCTCACCTGTTCCCAAGGAAACAGCCTGCCCTGTCTAATCTTTTCTAATTTCATTTAACTCCAACCGCAGGCTTCCAATTCTATAAACTCCATTCCCTGCTGGCAATGCAAAGGGAGTGTGACTGTCAGAGAGATCAGAAGAAACAAGATAGTTTTAATCCCAGCGTTCCATGCCCTGGAGAGGCCCTGCCAGAAGGAACATTTGCTAAAGATCAGACAAAAGCCATTAGCAGGGTGCTAGTTTATTTCACATGGTGCAAGAAAAATTATATTATTGCTTAACAGCATGCTATTCTGATGGGAGAGGACATAGTTACTCCCTCCCTATTAAATCATTAAGCCTGACAATATTTACTCGATGAGCCTAGTGAAGAGTAGAAGAGGAGCCAGTCGGGAGCATCAGACACAGGCCGGGTTCACAGAACCAGCAGGCGAGAAAAGCCCTGCGTTGGCCTGCCTTGAAAACCCCTCTCCCGTGCCAGGAAAGGCTTCACTCGCTCTGCTTCAGGCACCGGAGCCTGGAGGGTCAGAGCCAGTGTTCCCTCTAGGCTGAGTGAGTGTGAGCTAGCTCACAGTTTTGTAGCCTCCGGCTCACACATTGCTGTCTTCGCTCAGGAAGGAGGGCTCCAGAGCAAACTAATTTATGCAGAGTAGCCAAATGGCTCACGGCTCACAACTTTAATGCCAGTAGCTCCTGAAGCCGAATTCTTGCTCACAAGACTCCACAGCTCAGAGGGAGCACTGGCCAGAGCCCAGATCTGGAGTTTGTCTGAAAGCTGTTCCAGGAACTCAGCACAGAGAGAGAGACAGAGGGGGGGCTTTAGTTCAGCTACCAGCTTCTAGAGAGCAGCAAGACTTTCAGAGTCACAGCTCACCCCCCCACCAATCTTGTTAGCCTCTCAGGGGCTCCTGGACTTGAATCTGGTTGTTCTTCAGCAGACCAACACAGCTGTCCCCTGAAACCATCTTCTTACCAATTTTCTTAACATGTCAAAATGCAAAACGTCAATATAAGGCAGACCCAACAGGTACAAGAAGAAGAAGAAGAGATTGGATTTATACCCCGCCCTTCACTACCCAAGGAGCTGCAGTGGCTCAAGTGGTTAAGACGCTGAACTGCAGGCTGTGGAAGGTCGGTAGTTCAGCAGTTCGAGACCCGAGTGTGCCACATGACAGAGTGAGCTCCCGTCTCTAGTTCCAGCTCCTGCCAACCTAACAGTTCGAAAGCAAGAAATTGCAAGTAAATAAGTACCACTTCGGTGGGAAGGGAACAGCGTTCCGTGCGCCTTGGTGTTTAGTCAAGCAGGCCAAATGACCACGGAAATGTCTCCGGACAGCGCTGGCTCTTCGGCTTGGAAACGGAGATGAGCACCGCAACCCTAGAGTCGGACTCGACTGGCTTTCGAGCAAGGGAACCTTTACCTTTACTGCAAAACAGTTCCCCCCCCCACCCAAGGCTCTCAGGAACACACTGCCTCCCATCTGGAGCCTGGACATGCTGGAGAGAAGCAAGGGAAGAAGTAATGCCGGAAATGTGAAATAAATGCTGTGAATGTTAGGTCAACGGACCAGTCCTGCCAATGATCTGCACCTACCATTTACATACGTAGGAACTCCATTGGACTTTCTCCTCATAAGAGTTTTGCAAACATTTCCGGTCCACGTCTTTTGAAAGAGGTGGGCGCCTGGCCCTGGGGATGACCTCTGCAAGCCAGAAGCAGGTGCTTGCCGGAGTGAGTTCATGGAAGCTTGCATCCACAGTCACATCTGGGATGCCCAGATCCATGTTGCATGTTTGGGCTGAATGCCACACGGAGACAAAGACGGGTCCAGAAATTAGCTGCAGGGGCTGGAGACAGAGATGGTGCTTCCTCCTCCTATGCCAGTGGGCTCAGGGAGCCCCAAGACGCTTCGCCCTGCCTCAGCGGCATCAACAGCAGCCCCAGGGAGCCCCTCCTTGTAGGCAGGCAGAGGAGGTGCCAGGCTTGGGTGGTTTAACAGGGAGATCAGTGGTCAGAATTTTAGTTGATTTACCGCCGGGGGGGGGGGAGCGCTGCATTCAATCTGCAAGGCTGAATATTAATGAGACCGGTGCCCTTTCACTTTCTTAAGGATATGCTGGCTCGGCTGTGCTACTGAAATAAGGAAGGAGGAAGAAAAACTAAATATGGTCTTACGTTCTAATAAACATTTGTTAATTAAATGACATGTCATCTCAGACTTCCTTCAGTGGCTAAAAGGCACCATCCACCTGGAAACAGACTAATGAATTCACAAGTAATTAATTAATGATGATTACAAAACTAAAATATCTTCAGTCAACTGCTAGTCCCAGAAAGCCGACATCTTCTTGTCATCATCATCTTCCTGATCTTCCAGGTACTTCATGCAGACGATGCTACTCATCTGCACAGCCCAGCCCAGCCCAGTGAAGAAGCCCCG